TTATAAATACAAAAATAAAATAATTAAAAATTATGGCCATATATTCAAATTATGTAATATAAATAAAAAAAAAGAAATAATATTAATGTTGTCACCAAACACGATCAAAAATGGTAAAATTATATTATATAATATTAAATATTAAATGTAAAAATAATAAATCCACAAATAATATAGTGAAGAATGATGGACACAGATACAAATTAATAAATCGAATTAATAAATTAATAAATTTCAATAAAAAAAACTCATTATTGTATATTTATTTAATGTATTTGTGACGCTAAAACGCAGCCTATGGATATCATTCAGCTAATTGTGATAGTCGCAATAACAGAGGTAGTCTTGGGTGGTAGTTGCAAAAATAGCCATAGTCTCATATAACAGGAAAGAACCATTTTGGTAGTCTTAGATAACAGGATTGTGATGTTGTCAAAAAGTAAGGTAGACTCACATAACAGGAAAGTACCATTTTCAGTTGGGAGAATATTTTTAAAAATGATAAATACACAAAATTATTAGACTACAATTATTATCATATTCAAAGAGAAATCATAGAGCAATACTACAATCTCTTAATATAAACGGTACAATTAAAATGACTGATCATAGTCCAGATAAGAGGATAGATACCTAGTAGAAACAAATCAAACACTAATACTAAACCATAAAGTAGGTTAACAGGAAGGTGTCTACCAAACGTTGCAGAGCACTTGGTGAAAAAGATACTAACCATCAGCTTCAGCTCGAACCAAAAGTGAAACGCCTTTGAGACGTTCGACGTATGTGCATGACACATGCCCCGTGCCACGGTCATCCCACTGACGATCGGCATTCAGGGCATACAACTTCACTCGCCGTTTGGTGTCAGTCATTGCGTCGAACATTGGTCCACAACGGTCATCGCATGAAGAACAGAATGTATGAGGATCTCGATCCTTTCAGACGACCACCAATAGTCGCGGCCGAATGCCGTCGACACTCCTGACAGACGGCAGCAAAGGTTCCGGCGGAGGTATTTAGACGTAGAACACGACACAGACCAAGTGAGTTAGCGGAACGAAAACAATAAAGTAGTCGAAGCGCGATACACGGGCAGGCTCACCGAAATTCAACAGGACCACTGAATTCAACTAAGAGTTCGTCGGAACGGGCCGGGCAAACGCGTGCGGTGACGATCGGGTAAAATGTACGGCGCGCGAACTGTTCAAACGTATCGGAATTGGTTTTATCAGCGACAGGACGTGACAACATTTCACGGACGTGCGATCTAAACAACAAACAGTGGACACACGGACACGGCCATTTTGAAAACAAAAAAAAAAAATAATATATATAGCGCGTACGCACGGAAGGAGGAATGAATAATAATAATAGTAGACAGTACAGTTGTAGTAAATGCTCGTAACGCGTTCCGTTCACCAACTCGGTTACTATTGAAGTGGAGGAACGACCGCGGCGGATAACCCAGTGCAGCCAACCAAACCGTCGTCCAACCAGCGGCTTTGACCGAATGAAAACAAAAACAACACGCGCGCCACACCGATACCGATACAATAATTTTTACAGGTACACATAGCCCGGTATTACTATTACCTACATTTTTACGATAACTTATATGATTAGTAGATGTAGGAACGCGTGTAGTGTGCGAGTTGTACGGTTGTTATTGTTATTGTTGTTGTAACTATATAATTGTAAAGACCGCATAATCCGTCGTCGTTGTCTTCCTCCGAAGTCCGAAGCTCACTCCGTCGGACGGCCGGCTGATCGGTCATCTGGTGGTGTTATTATGAGTGGTGATGGGGGGGG